TCCCAAACCTCATCCCGCCACCCCAAACCCAGGAATGTGGAGGCTGTGGCAGGATTTACCCTCCCGACCCCGATCCTTCTCCGCAGGAATGAGGTTTCATGTCCGAGGCTCTCCAGATCTCCCGGGGGGCCACCGCTCCCGCCGGCTCTGTCGCACGCGGAGGCGGCGCAGAGCCCGTTCCCATTTGTCTGGGATCAAATATTTATGGGACAGACATGGATACAGGGAAAGGCACTTACGGAGTGGGCGTAGGGGACAGCAGAGGTGTCACCAGCACAGCCCTGGGGTGGGGGGACACGGCAACCGCCGTCCCCAGCTCTGTGATGTGGCTCTTCCCCAGACACGGAAAATCGGGATCAGACCGATCCCAATCAAATCTGAATCCCAATCCCAATCCAAATCTGAATCCCAATCCCAATCCCAATCCCACAGCTGCTGCTGTTGAGGGATCCCAGAGCATTCCCTGGGGCTCCTGAGCTTCCTGAGGGTGTCCCAGTGGCTGTCCCAGGGCAAACTGGTGGCACTGGGAGCCAGGGTGGGTTTGTCCGGACACTGGTGAAAGAGAGATGGAGTTTTGTTATTCCTGGAGGATCCTCTGCTGTTCCCAAATCTGTCCAACCACGGAGTCTGATCTGTTCCCAAAACTCTCCAACCATGGAGCCTCCTCTGTTCCCAAATCTCTCCAACCATGGAGCCTCCTCTTTTCCCAAATCTGTCCAGCCACGGAGTCTGATCTGTTCCCAAAACTCTCCCACCATGGAGCCTCCTCTGTTCCCAAATCTCTCCAACCACGGAACCTCCTCTCTTCCCAAATCTCTCCAACCATGGAGCCTCCTCTCTTCCCAAATCTGTCCAACCATGGAGTCTGATCTGTTCCCAAATCTCTCCAGAGCCTGGCTGGGGGCGGGCGCTGCTCATCCCTGCTCCCACAGCCCTGATCCCGGCAGGATCCCGGCTGGATCGGCAATCCCAAAGCGCAGGTTTTAGAGCCGACAGCCCCTTCACCTCACCGGAGTCACCGCCCAGACCCCACAGCCCCTTCCCAATGCTTCACCCCATCCCAGTCCCTTGGGAAAGCCGCTCCGTCAGCTCCCCCAGATCCTTCCAGCTGGAGCCGCTCCAGCGGCTCTTTCGTGGGCGGTGATTAATTAATGCCGGCTGCTAATTGGAGCCAGGTGCCCGGGGCAGCGCGGCTGGGACAGCCCCGTGTCCCCGCTGTGGGGTGGGGACTCTGGGGCTCACCCCATCCCGATTCTGGGATCATCGGGGGTCCCCGGCGCTGGAATTCTGCTGCTGGAGGGGACAGGGATGTGGTGGCTTCAGGAGGAGGGAAAATCTGCTGTGGCCATGATCCCCAGCCCCAGATTTTGGGATTACCACGGGCTCACGCAGGAGCTTCCAGGGTCTCCAGGAAACAGGGATGTTCTGGAGCGTGGCCAGGGGTCTGATCTGGACCCACCCTCCCTTTCTGGTTCTCCATGGATTTCAACCACAGACACTTCCTTTTCCTTCTTTCCAAGTTTTCCCTCATTCCCACTGAATCCAGACCTTCCAGCTGCTGGTCCCGAGCAGCTTCCCCTGGAAGTGTCCCCTTGGACACATCCCTGGAAGTGTCCAAGGCTGAGTTGGATGCACCTGGGATAATGGAAGGTGTCCCTGCCCATGGACGGGGTGGCACTGGATGGGATTTAGGGACCTCCCCAACTCCAACCATCCCACAATTTCATGATTTTAGGAACTCCACTTCTGGAGACCCCACAGCGTCTCTGTCCCCTCCTCCACCACATCCACCCTGGATCCGTCTCCAACGGGATGTCCTGGGTGGTCTCTCCTTGGGGAAGGGTCTTTGGGAAGGGCTGGGATCCCTTCCCACCTGGATACATCTCCAACGGAATGTCCCAGGTGGTCTCTCCTTGGGGAAGGGTCTTTGGGAAGGGCTGGGATCCCTTCCCACCTAGATCCATCTCCATCGGGATGTCCTGGGTGATGCCTCCTTGGGGAAAGGATTTGGGAAGGGCTGGGTTCCCTTCCCACCTGGATCCATCTTTATCGGGATGTCCTGGGTGATGCCTCCTTCGGGAAAGGATTTGGGAAGGGCTGGGTTCCCTTCCCACCTGGATCCATCAGGATGTCTGGGGTGGTCTCGCCTTGGGGCAGGGTCTTTGGGGTCCCCCAGACTCTCCCATCCGTGTCCCCAGGTGCCAGCGGCGAGCGGTTCCCGACGCCGTCCCCACCCGGCTCCCCGGGGACACCCCACGACAGCTGCAGCATCGCCCCACTGACGCCTTCCCAGTCACCGGTGAGTGCGGGACCAGCGGCACCAGGGCGGGACCAGTAAGGCCAGTGTGGGGTTCCCAGTAAGGCCAGTGTGGGGTTCCCAGTAAAGCAGCTTTGGGTTCCCAGTAAGGCAGCTTTGGGTTCCCAGTAAGGCCATTATGGGGTTCCCAGTAAGGCCATTATGGGGTTCCCAGTAAGGCAGCTTTGGGGTCCCAGTAAGGCCAGTGTGGGGTTCCCAGTAAGGCCAGTGTGGGGTTCCCAGTAAGGCAGCTTTGGGGTCCCAGTAAGGCCAGTGTGGGGTTCCCAGTAAGGCAGCTTTGGGGTCCCAGTAAGGCCAGTGTGGGGTCCCAGTAAGGCCAGTGTGGGGTTCCCAGTAAGGCCAGTGTGGGGTTCCCAGTAAGGCAGCTTTGGGGTCCCAGTAAGGCCAGTGTGGAGTTCCCAGTAAGGCCAGTGTAGGGTTCCCAGTAAGGCCACTGGGGTCCCAGTAAGGCAGCTTTGGGGTCCCAGTAAGGCCAGTGTGGGGTTCCCAGTAAAGCAGCTTTGGGGTCCCAATAAGGCCATTGTGGGGTTCCCAGTAAGGCCAGTGTGGGGTTCCCAGTAAGGCAGCTTTGGGGTCCCAGTAAGGCCATTATGGGGTTCCCAGTAAGGCCAGTGTGGATTTCCCAGTAAGGCCAGTGTGGGATTCCCAGTAAGGCCAGTGTGGGGTTCCCAGTAAGGCAGTTTTGGGGTCCCAGTAAGGCCACTGGGGTCCGTCCCCCTGTCCTTTCCCCCTCTGGTCCTTCCCCAGTTCCTTCTCTCCTTCCCCTCCACTCCCCTCCAAGTCCAGCCTCCATTCCCCCCCAGTCCCACAGGATGGGTCAGTCTATCCCCAGGACCTCTATCCATGGGATTTTTGGGATGGAGGTGTTTTCCAGCTCTGGAATGACCCACCAGGAAAAGTCCAACCCCCACAATACTCCTGTCCTCCTCCGGGGCTGGTGGGTGTGGGAGGCCGCGTTCCAGAGTCGGATCCTCCCTGGAGTTCCTTGTCCCTGCACATTCCTGCGCCGGCCGCCTCTTCCCTGCTGATCCCGGCATTTTTCCCGGCCAGCTCGTGTCCACATTTAAAACTGGGGACATTAAAAGTTAACGAGGCTTTTGGCTTCCTGTGGTGACATGGGGACAGGGCCTCGTCACATCCTTACGGATTCTTCGGCACGAGGAGGGAGGGGACATGGAGTGGGGACAGGAAAAGTGTGGGAGCAGTGGTGGGAACATCCCAAAATGCCTGGGCCAGGGGGATTTCCAGCTGGGCAAGCCTTGGGGACACCTGGGACAAGGTGAGATTGGACACAGGGAAGGCTTTTGGCTGGGTGACCCTGGGGACACCTGGGATGGTGTCACCTCGTCCAAGATGGAGAGCAGGGAATGGTTTGGGTTCAGTGAACCTTGGGGACACCTGGGACAATGTCCCTTGGAGCAAGACTAGAAACTGGCAAGGTTTTCAGCTGGGTGACCCTTGGGGACACCTGGGACAATGTCCCCTGGAATGAGACCGGACACAGGAAGATATTTTAGCTGGGTGACACATGGGGACACCTGAGATGATGTCACCTAGTCCAAGATGGGGAGCAGGGAATTGTTTGGATTCAGTGACCCTTGGGGACACCTGGGACAATGTCCCTTGGACTGAGACTGGACACAGGGAAGGATTTTGGCTGGGTGACCCTGGGGACACCTGGGATGGTGTCACCTAGTCCAAGATGAGGAGCAGGGAACAGTTTGGGTTCAGTGACCCTTGGGGACACCTGGGACAATGACCCTTGGAGCGAGACCAAACACAGGCAAGGTTTTTGGGAATCTTGGCTCCAATTTCCGGGTCCAAGTGAGGGGGGCTCAGCACAATATAAACAGGGGCCCCCAACCACCCTGGCTGCTCCCATGGGCACCAATCCCCTTCCAGGGCTGCCCAAATCCCTGCGTCCCATGGGAACCACCTTTGGGAACGACCACAGCTACCCCGTGGGACATGGGAGATGCTTTTCCCAATGAGCTGAAGATGTGTAAGGAGAATCACTCATCAGAAATCATCAAACTGAGTGAAAATCCAAGAAAAATCCTGAAAATCCTGGGGAAATGAGCCTGTTCCTGGGGTTTTTACTGCTTTTCTGGAATCGCCCAGTCCCAGCTGAGTGCTTGACCCCATTCCTTGCCTTCCAGCGGAGTGAGGCGCGTTCCAAGCAGACCCCGTCCTTCTCTGTGGTGGTGGCCATCGACTTCGGCACCACCTCCAGTGGTTACGCCTTCAGCTTCACCAGCGATCCCGAGGCCATCCACATGATGAGGTGAGGACCTGCCAGGGGCCTCGGAGCTGGGAAAGGACCTTTATGGCCCCAAGATGGTCAGAAGTTGGGTTGCTGGGAGATGGTTCCTGGAAGCGGTGGTTGGGAGGTGTGGGGTGAGGATACTCCAAGGGCTGGAGCCCCTCTGCTCTGGAGCCAGGCTGGGAGAGCTGGGAATGTTCTCCTGGAGAAGGGAAAATTCCAGGGAATGCTCAGAGTGCCTGGAGGGGCTCCAGGAGAGCTGGAGAGGGACTGGGGACAAGGGACAGAGGGACAGGAGCCAGGGAATGGCTCCCACTGGGAAAGGGGAGCTTGGGCTGGGATCTTGGCAAGGAATTGCTGGCTGGGCTGGAATTCCCAGATTTGCTGTGGCTGCCAATGGATCCCTGGAAGTTCTCAAGGCCATCTTGGATGGACCTGGATTCACCTGGGATTGGAAGGGATGGTGGCACTCAGTGGCCTTCAAGGTCCCTCCCAACCCAACCCAGTCTGGAATTCCATGATATTCCTCAGAGGATGGAGCGGGATCACCCCTCCTCCTCCATCCTCCTTTAAGGTCCTTCAGACCACGCCCACAGAAATTAATTAAACCTGGCAGGACCCATTCCCTGGAAGTTCACCTGCTCCGGCTCCTCTTGCAGGAAATGGGAGGGAGGGGACCCGGGCGTGGCCAACCAGAAGACCCCCACCAGCCTCCTGCTGACCCCGGAGGGGACATTCCACAGCTTCGGCTACACCGCCCGCGATTACTACCACGACCTGGACCCCGAGGAGGCCCGCGAGTGGTTCTACTTCGAGAAGTTTAAGATGAAGATCCACAGCACCAGTGTGAGTCGCTGCTCCCATTCTGACGTTCCTGGTGTTCCCAGGGGGATCCTGGCCGGGCTGGGAATTGAAATTTTGGGAAAAATTCCATTTTAGCCCATTTTAGGGGGTGAATTTGAGGTTCTTCCATCCGAGCTGCTCCGGGGTGGGTGGATGTGGTTGCACAAAGCTTCATGTGCTGGAGCAAATTCCTGAGATCTGGTGATGGATCCGGCCACCTCCCAGCCCCTCGTGTGATCCATTTGCTGCTCCCGGCAGGATCTGACCATGAAAACCGAGCTGGAAGCTGTCAATGGCAAGAAGATGCCGGCGCTGGAGGTGTTCGCCCACGCGCTGCGCTTCTTCAAGCAGCACGCGGTGCAGGTGGGGCCACCTCCATCCCTCCTCCTCCGTCCCAAATGGAATCCTTGGTGTCCTCCTTGTGCACTCCATGTGAGGGTGGGGAGATCCTGGAATGGAATTCCCAGATTTGCTGTGGCTGCCCCGTCCCTGGGAGTGTCCAAGGCCGGGTTGGACACTGTGACTTGGAGTGACCTGGGATCGCGGGAGGTGTCCCTGGGTGGGACTGGATGGGATTTAAGGTCCCTCCCAATCCAAACCATTCCGTGATTCACCGGGAGCCCTCAGGTGTCACCTCCTGCTTGTCCCCTGGCAGGAGCTGAAGGACCAGTGTCCGTCCCTGCCCGAGAGCGATGCCATCCGCTGGGTCCTCACCGTGCCCGCCATCTGGAAGCAGCCGGCCAAGCAGTTCATGCGGGAAGCGGCCTACAAGGTGGGGGGACTCCAGAGGGTGACCACGTGGTGACCCTCGCAGTGGTTGTGGTCTCCGGGGCATCCCCTTCCTCCCTCAAACGGAATTCCCACTGTCAGAGGGTAGCGTTAGGTGGGATCTTGGGATGGAATTCCTGGCTGGGATGGAATTCCCAGATTTGCTGTGGCTGCCCGTGGATCCCTGGCAGTGCCCAAGGCCAGGTTGGACATTGGGGATTGGAGCAACCTGGGATAGTGGGAGGTGTCCCTGCCCGTGGCAGAGGGTGAAATGGGGTGGGATTTAAGGTCCTTCCAACCCAAACCTACCAAAAATTGTTGGGTGAGCAGGTGGATAATTTGCCAGGTGGGTGGTTAAGTGGATGGTTGGGTGGTGGGTTGAATTGTTCAGTGGTTGGGTGGTTGGTTTGGGGCTAGGTCATTGGTTGAGCAGTTCTCTGGTTGAGTGGTTGGGTTGTTGGTCAGTGTGTTGGTTGAGTGGTTGGTTGGTTGGTTGAATGGGTGGGTCATTGGTTGGGTGGCTGGTTGAGCAGTTCAGTCACTGGTTGGGTGATTAGTTTGGTGGTTGGGTCATTGGCTGAGCTGTTGGTTGGTTGGTTGTGTGCTTGGTTTGGTGTTCAGGACATTGGTTGGGTCATTGGTTGACTGGTTCATTGGTCAAGCAGTTGGATGATTGAGCAGGTGGTTGGTTTGGCAGTCAGGTCTTTGGTTGTGTGGTTGGTTGGACGTTTGGTTGGGTGGTGAGGTCATTGGTTGGTCAGTTGGGTGGGCGGATGGTTTAGTTGGGTGTTTGGTTGGGTGGTGAGGTCATCAATTGGTTGGACGGATGGTTTGGTGGTCAAGTCATTGGATGGGTGGTTGGTTTGGGTGTGAGGTCATTGGTTTGGTGGTTGGTTGGGTGGTGAGGTCATTGGTTGGTTGGATGGTTAGTTGGCTGGTGAGGTGGTTGGTTGGTTGGGTGGTTGGTCTGGTGGTCAGGTCATTGGGTGGTCAGTTGGGTGGTTGGTTTGATGGTTGGGTGGCTCTATGGCAGGTTGAGTGGTTGGATTGTCACCTGCACGCTTGGGCTGTTGGTTGAGCTGCCGGGTCACGGGTCGGGCAGCTCATTGGTCGGTTGAGTTTCTGGGTGCACATTCCCATCTTGGCGAGCGTTGGGTCCTCCCGCGTTCCACAATTCCAGATCCGCGTGAGCACCGAGGGGACGGGGACACCCCGGGGACCACCCCCCATCCCCTGTCCCCTCCCCGCCCTGTCACCGCGTGTCCCCGCAGGCCGGGCTGGTGTCCCCGGAGACGCCGGAGCAGCTGCTGATCGCGCTGGAGCCCGAGGCCGCCTCCATCTACTGCCGGAAGCTGCGGCTGCACCAACTGATCGAGCTGAGCTGCCGCCCCCCGGCCGGCGGGGCTGAGCCCCCCCAGCCCATCGACTCCAGCTTCCGGCAGGGTGAGGGGTGGGAATGGGGAATGGGGAATGGGGTGGGGACAGGGCCGGGGGCTGGCAGAGCAGGGAATGGGATCCGGCCCCGCGTGCCAGGTCTGGAGGGTCCATCAGCTGCCGTGGCTGGGAAAGTCCCCGGAGACCCCGTTCCCAGAGATCCCCTGTCCCCAGAGATCAACCCTGTTGCCAGAAACCCCATTCCCAGAGATTCCCCATTCCCAGAGATCATCCCCGTTGCCAGAAACCCCATTCCCAGGGATTCCCCATTCCCAGAGATCATCCCCATTGCCAGAAACCCCGTTCCCAGAGATTCCCCATTCCCAGAGATCATCCCCATTGCCAGAAACCCCATTCCCAGAGATTCCCCATTCCCAGAGATCATCCCCATTGCCAGAAATCCCATTGCCAGAGACCCCATTGCCAAAAATCCTATTTCCAGAGACCTTGTTGCCGAAGATCCCAATCCCAGAGATTTCCTCGTTCCCAGAGACCCCCTGTCCCCAGATATTCTCGCCATTGCCAGAAACCCCATTCCCAGAGATTCCCCATTGCCAGAGATCCCCAGTTCCCAGAGGCTTCCAACCCTCACACCCCCATTCCCAGGGATTTCCCATTCCCAGAGATCCTCATCCCCAGAGGCCCCTTATTCCCAGACCCCCTCATTCCCAGATCTCCCCATTCCCCGAGATCCATCATTGCCAGAGACCCTCCCTTCCCAAGGACCCCATTTCCAGGTTCCCCCATTCCCAGAGACCCCATTCCCAGACCCCTCATTCCCAGAGATCCCCCGGCTCCAAAGACCCCATTCCCAGACCCCCCATTCCCAGAAACCCCATTCCCAGACCCCCCCATTCCCAGAAACCCCATTCCCAGACCCCCCCCATTCCCAGAAACCCCATTCCCAGAGATCCCTCAGCCCCAGAGACCCCATTCCCAGAGACCCCATTCCCAGACTCACCATGCACTGGTGGCAATCCCAGATGGAGATTTGGGATCCCATGGGGGATTTATGGGGTTGCTCGAGCAGATCCCAAGGATGAGGAATTATCCGCACATGCCAAAAATATCCCAGGACAACCCCACCTTTCCCAACTCATCCCGGCCCTTCCGGGCGGCTTTGATGTCCCTGGGATGGGGGGAGCAGAGGAAACCCCACCCGGGCTGTGGGGTGTGAGCTGGAGGTGGCATCGCCCAGGGTGGGCACAGGGTGATCCCATGGGATCCGGGGGGATCCTTTGGGATCGCAGCAGGGCAGAGGGAAAGCTGGATCAGCCCATCCATGGTGGAGCTGGGTCATATTGGGGTCCTGGCTGGAGAAGGGCGGTCACCAGTGCTCCCAGTACAGACCCCACAGTGGGAATGGGATGGATCCTGGGGAATGGGGTGGGT